TGTCTGGTGTTCACACATCGATTACTGCAAATCATTGACTAAAAATATAAAGCACACAAACTATAAATATAAAGTAATTGAAATGCATGTTATTATACACTTTTATAGCATAAAAATATTCTGTGCATTCTAGGGTAACAGGTTTTCATGCCACAGTGTTATAATTGTACAGGCTGTAAAATAGCCTATGTAAAAGAACACAGAATTATCAATACTGCACAGAGAAAACAATGTCTCAGGCAACATGCAGCATATTGACAACCATTTCATATAATAACTCTATGTGAGGTAGATTTTAGAGGTATTAAATGCTTTACACATCTGGTTCCTATCACCACTGTAAAAAATACTGAAGAAGTTTATCTAGAACAGTCGTGGGCTGGAGGTTAGGAAACCAGCCTTGTAACCGGAAGGCTCACTGCCCCCTAGTGTGTGTATATTGACTAGTGTGTATGTGGTGTTTCACTGCATGGATGGGTTAAATGCGGAGGTCTATTCCGATGTGTTCAGGCACAGTTGGCTAAAAGGTTCATTCAAATGATTTCAAGGGATATTTCTTCTCATTCTCAGCTCTTCACTACCATCTCTGGATTTCCACCATCCCTGTTGAATAAGCAGTATACTCTAAAACGCAAACATAAAAAAACGGATGATTCTGAAACTCACTGTTAAAAGACTTAATTGACTGACTTATCATCTTTTGTCAGCATTTCACAGCGTTAATGCAGTTAATATCCTGGACACTAAGTTTAGGTTATCAAAACGCACTGACGTTTGGCTTCAAACCAACCTACTGTTGATGGGTGCTAAATAACAACATGTATGGGCTTTAGAAAAGAGGTACAGTATTATGTTTAGTAAACAAAATAGGATGAACTTTATTACTCCCTGAATTTTTTTTGTCCATATAAAACTGCACAGCATCAGTATTGTTTTTTGATGACACCACTATAGAAGATAAATATACAGGATTAACAAGATGAGCCTATGAAGACAAGCGCTATAGGAGAGTTCAGTAGAACACTGTTAGACACTGTTAGCTACAGTCAAAGAAACCTTGCTAACGTCAGCTTAGTTGATTAATGTTAAGCTATTTGAAGTTAGCTACCGTTAAGCCTCTGGTAGGGAACAAATGGCCGAGCTACCAATGTTAGTTATATTAATACGTTATTATTTATGACAGAGCATTACTGATAAATCGTTCCTATTCATTTGCTTCGAGAAAGCTAGAAACCATCTAGCTAACGTCGAGGCTACAGGCACACTAGCCGACTCAATACCACAGCCACGAACGTACTTTGACCAATTGGCATAAAGCTGCTTAAGAAAAGATGCCATGATTGGTGCGCTGGCAGGAACCGCCCCTCGGCAGCTCTGATTGGCTGGAGTTTTGGCACAAACATTCAGACATTTTACAGTGAGCAGGTGTGAAAGTTGAGCGCGCACTGCGGAGCGGAGAGCAGAAATGATTTTCGCGCACGTGCGAGTTTTGAAGGTGAAGAGCCTGATTGAGCAGGTTTTCCAGTTTTGAGTGAAAACCGGAGTGTTTTGCACGTTCGAGCTCTGAGAGGGAAACGCATTGCTGTGCAGATTTTCACGTTTTGAATGAAACCAGAGTGTTTTGTTGAGCAAATTCGAAGGTGTTTATCTGCGCACTTCATGCTGACAAGGTGCATTCAAGTTCATTAGCTAGCTCCTTCAAACATCAGGATCTTCTCTCTTTCTTCTCTCTTTTTTCTCTTTTGGCACAAAACTAACTCCATACGTAAAGCTCTAGTGACGCCACTGGTATTTGTACATTTACAGACACAGGACTGTTATTCATTTCACCAGCAGAGGGCGTAAAACCATTACAAAGCGCTTTACCGACAAAAGTTCATGTCATTCTAAACAGAGGTGCTAGCTCTGGTCCTAGAGGGCTGGAGTTCAGCATAATTTGAAGATTTCCCTGTTCCAACATACCTTCTAAACCTGGAAATTAATCGAAGAGTTGAATCAGATGTGTTTGAGTAGGGAAATGACCAGACTGTGCTGGATGGCTTTTGGGCATCCCATAAATGGGAATGGATTTTTCTCATTTTCTGCATAATTTAATCATTGAGATGTAAACAAAGTAATTCATAGCTTTTCATGTGAAATGATGCAAACTTAGCAACTCTGATTCCTTTACAATGGTCGTGATAGGAAACAGAGTTTACGATGGCTGTGACATATATGTAGCCATTTTATTTGCTATTTCCTGTTTTTATATTTAATGCTGCTAAAGGTGAAATACTAGTAAGTCTTTAAAAAGTTTGGGGGCTATTTTGCCTTAGAACATCCTGTATGTATCTCTCCACATGAATGTATATTTTAAAAATATACATTTTTGGCCAAAAGTTAATATCAAAGCCAATATAAAACAATGTCTCAGGCATCTGGCACCTAGTAACCTTTTTGTGTAATAGCCTCCTGTGGGACAACTGACCAATCACCACCACTGTAAACAATTCTAACTCATTACGTTTCTCTAGCATGGACCATTACATATCAAACCACGCTGAATGACTGTGTGTACATCTTAACCATTAAATTAGGTAGACATTTTGATTTTTTAAAACATTTTTTAAATAAGTTTTTAAACATTTCTGCAAAGTTTAATAGTTAAGATGTTAACAAAGTCATAAGTAAGAGTGGTTTGCTGTGAAATGCTCCGTTCTAGATAAACTTCTTCAGTATTTTTTACAGTGGTCATAGGAACCAGTTGTGTAAAGCATTTAATACCTCTAAAATCTACCTCACATAGAGTTATTATATGAAATGGTTGTCAATATGCTGCATGTTGCCTGAGACATTGTTTTCTCTGTGCAGTATTGATAATTCTGTGTGTTCTTTTACATAGGCTATTTTACAGCCTGTACAATTATAACACTGTGGCATGAAAACTTGTTACCCCAGAATGCGCAGAATATTTTTATGCTATAAGAGTGTATAACAACATGCATTTCAGTTACTTTCCTGAATGTCAGAAGAGATTGGCCTGTACCTGGTAAAAGATGTTTCCACAGTGTACAGAGAGAAAGAGAACTGCTGCACAAGGTAAAGTTTGAAAACTGTCTGGCTGTATGCGAGCCCTGTAACTCTATCTGTTCTGGGTCTTTAGATTCATTGGACTCCGATTGGCTCCAAGAGCTGCACGTCAGTGTTAAAAATATCCATGCCTTACAACAGAGAGACAGTTTAGCTCCAGACACACATACACAACAAGCTTGTAACTCTTAGCAAACTACCAACAGATCAATCACACATGACTGTCCACTGACCATGATACTTAAGTATATAATATTAATTCAATTGATTGGTTTTAATGTAAAAAGAAAGTCTTGCATCTGAAACTAGTCATGATGACATTTTCTACATTTATCATTAAAACATGGCTCTACACCTTCTTAAATTAGTATTTTGATTGCTGTATCTTTATTTGAGTTGTCTCAGTGAATCCATAACTAACCAGCCAAATATAGCACGCAGGCTGTACTTCTACACAAATGAAATTCATGTTTCTGGTGAGAGTCATGCAAATTTTCATTTCCCTATCCTCAGTGTTCATTGTCTTCTTATGAATCCTAGAATAATGGCATTGTATAAAGCTGTTTATGCATACACACATGCACATACACACAGTAGTACTACTCTAGTTTTATTTAAAAAAATAGACTTTAATGATTTAAGGTAAAAAAAAAAGTCATCTTTTATACTATGAGATGTATTGAATTCTAGTATGATGCCTAAAGACTGTGTTGAAAGGAGTCATAGTGTGTATTAAACTTATTTATAACAGTCAGCCAATCTCCAGCCCACAGTGAGTGGCCCTTTGGTCAGAAACTGTTCACTAATAAAGAGCTAGAGGATGACAGAACTAATGAAAAAGACACACTGAAAAGACATGTAATGCACATATCTCTACGTGCATAAAATATACAAGTGATTGGGGTGCTATTGACACCTTGTAGCTCAACATTAAATCTAGGAAAACATATTTATTCATTCTATAAAAATGTACTAATACTACATTTCTGACTGATATCACAGCTGATCAGCAGCTGAAACCTTTTCAGCAAGTCTTCTCCAGCGCACAGAAGATCACTGGAATACTGCTCCCAACCCTGGAGAACCCTTATAACCCACATTATCACAGGAAAGCTGCCATTATCAGCAAGAACTCCACTCACCCATGCCATCATCTGTTTGGACTCCTTCCATCCAACAGATGATACAAGGCCATCTATTTATGCGCATACAGACTGAGAAATCGTCTGCTGCATTTCACCACTTTGTTCCAGGAAAAAGGAAACTTATTACTGTAACATGTTGCTATGTTAGCCCAACACTGACTATTGCCAAAGCATGTTTTAAGTTTTAAGCCTCTCTAGCTAAAAATATACTGCAATCTGTGTTAAAAAATAACAATGATGTCAACAACATAAGCACAACAGTAATGACAGCAGTTAACTATTTTCCAGCAGCCCCTGTCCTACAGGCCAATGCTTTTCTATGGAGATTAAACTGGTTGTCTAAAACTGAACACCTGTGTCAGTAATTGGTGCAGTAGCTGAATTCACTGATTAGAATGAGCAACTTTTGGACACATAGTGTATTTTTCCCTTTCTGGAACTAGAAAAGCATATCTCAGAAAGAAAGCAAAAGCAGAATCAATAATTATGTGGCACACGAGAGCACTATTGCTTTCCCAGAACTGAATCTGTTACTTAACAAAGTACAGTAGTTTTATTTTGCGTTATTACTTTGTTGTTTGAAAGTTTCTCATTGCTGCAGTATTAAACCGTGGCCGGTCTCTTACTGATAGAGACTTTGATGGTCTGAAGCATACAAGTTAAACCATGTAGGTTTTGGTTTCACACAAAGGAAGTTAGTGTTTCTTCTGAGAGGTGTCAGGGCTATGCAAATACAGTAAGCAAACAGTGCCCTGAAGCCACACTGATGCCTTTGTGAACCAGCAGCTTCTTTTAGCAGTTATCAGGAAACTGCACCGGCTTGCTTTTGCAGCTAATTGAATTCAGGAGGTAAGAAGCCAAAGGATAGTTTTTCTGCCTGAACAGGTATGTTATTTACTTTAATAAGATTCTAAAGTTATTTAAGTCAAGGTGAAACGTATGTAACCATATTATGATGATGATCTTAGTGCTTACAGAGAGAATCTAAAGGTAACGGAACAGCAGTTTTTGCTTTCTCTAATGAATAGTATTGTGACCTGGGTGGTAGATACAGTTACCCAGTTTACTAAAGCTGTATATAGCAGTACTGCAGAAGTGTAAACAGGAGAACCACACATGAAGTGAAATTATTACTAGATCTCTTATAATTACATGTCATAAAATAGTAATTCTCTTTACTGTTACCAAAAATAATCTCACGAAGTTTAGACAGTGCTGCATTCCTTAATCCACCTGAGGCTGTGCATGTGTATGTCTGTATATGAATGTTCAGTTGGCCAGATGAGTGAGGAGAAGGTCATTAAGGAAGGCGTCCTGCTGAAGATGTCTCAGCAGAAGAAGAAAATCTCGCCCAAAAACTATAAAGAGCGGCTCTTCATTCTGACCAGTCAGACTCTAAGTTACTACGAACATGAAAAAGGGGTAGGGCTTTTTAATCCATGTTTCCAGGCTCATTACTTTATCAACTAGGGTAAGGGTATCAGCGAACTGTTGTTTACAGTTATCCAATTTATAATATATTATGTAGATATCTGTCCAGTGAGAGTGTTTAAGAACATTTGCATGGTAATAACATCAACTTCCATAGATTTACCATAGCTCTTACAATTGAAATTTATAATCTTATTGGACTTGAAGTTTAATTTTAATTTACTTGTGTTACTTTACTTGTGTTTTACTTTCATTCTTGCAGAAGAAGAAGGCAAGGAAAGGGGTGGTGCCAGCAGAGAGAATTTTCTGTGTGGAGACCGTTGAGCCAGAAGAGAATGCACCTGTTCAAAGAGAGTTTCCCTTTCAGGTTTTTTTTTTGTTCATGATACACATACATAAATACACATGCATGACCCCACACAATACATGCATGAACACTTAACTGTTTGCGTAGCGTTCTAGGTAACTCCAGTGCAGACAATAGTTATATTTAAAAACTAGAAAAGTGCATCTCCTAAAGAAACTGCAGAGTGATTGCTCAGTTAAGCAACTCGCTATGGTGTCTTTAGGTGGCTGCAGTGTTATCCCAAGTGGTTGCTAAGATGTTGCCAGGTTGTTGCTATGGTATCCAAAGTGGTTGCTACTGTGTTGTTAAGCAGTTGCTATGGTGTTCCAGGTGGTGCTGTGTTACTAGTAGTTGCTATTCTGTTGTTAAGTGGTATACAAGGTGATTGGTAGGGTTTTGCTAGGTTGATTGCTGTGGTATCACAGATGGTTTCAAGGGAGTTGCTAAGTAGGTACTATGACATTTCTTGTGGTTTCTGGGGTGTTGCTTAGCAGCTGCTATGGTATCCCAGACAGTTGCTTGGGTGTTACTGTTGTGGTTGCTGTGGTATATCAGGTGGTTGTTAGGGTGTTTCTAATGTTCTTGTATAATGGTAACACAAGTGGGGTGGACAAATGTTTGGCCACAAAGTTCTATCAACCATTCACATGGAAAAAAATTTACTTTAAACAGATGCTACTCAGAAACCGTACAACAATTTAGAAAGCTGTATACAAGCCTACCAGTTCCTTAAACGCCTGAGACATGTCCAAAAAACGTTGGGATAGGAGCCTGTTTAATGCTGTTTTGCTTTACCTCACTTAAAAATTGTTTGGAGATTGAAGACACCAATTGATCCAGTTTTGAAAGCAGAACTTTTTACCATTCTTCCATTATGAAAGTTGTCAGCTGTGCAACCATACCGGGCCCTTGTTGTCATATTTTGCTCTTCATAATGATTACACACCATGCTGTGGCCTGGTGTTGTCATATTTAAATAAATGTGAACAGTCCTGAAAAAGACATATAAGGATATAAGGCAGCACATATTGCTCCTAAATGTGTATATATTAATGCAGCATTAATACAGCTTTCACAGATGTGCAAATTACACATACCATGGGCACTAATACACCCCCATACCATGCTGCAGACTTTTTCGAACTTTGGCAACAATCTGGATGGGCCTTTTCTTTTTTGGCCCAAAGAACTCAACTTCCATTATTTCAATAAACAATCTGAAGGGTTGCCTCGTCAGACCACGATTTTGGGCCCTTTACGTACAGTAATTTCTCCACATTTACTGAATCTTTTGAAGATATTTTAGAGGCTGAAACCCCTAAAATTCTTGCAGTTCCTCGCCAAGAAACATTATTCTGAAACTGGTGGATTATTTGCTGATGCATTTTTTACTAGCAAAGTAGTGAGCCTCAACCCATCCTTGCTCATAAAAGACCTTACCTGGATGCTCGCTTGATACCCAATCAGTGCTTGTTTAAAATGTTTTTGAGCATTTCACAATGTTCCTATTCTTAAACCTGCCCATCCCAGATTTTTTGGAACATGTTGTAGGCATCAAGTTCAGAACAAGTGTATATTTCCAAAAAAAAGCTTTTAGATAAAGATTAGATGAAATATTAAATATTTTGTATTTTTGTTTAAATACAGGTCAAAGAGAATTTGTAGATCACTGCATCTGTTTTTATTTGCATTTCACATTGACAGTATCATTTTTTTAGAATTGAGGTTTATATTCTAAAATTCACTTGACAAAGTGAAACATGTCTGCCTCGTATTGGTGTCCTTGCTCTCTTATAGTCATTAACTCCATTAAAGACAAAGGGTGCAACTCCTCTTTTGCAGAATCTCTGCTCTGCACATTATTAATGGTTCTCCACCATCCCCAGTATTAAACGCAGCTTTGTTAAAACTTTAACATGCTGTGAAACTATCGTCTTAGATTGCTTAACCATCACTGTAAACAACAGCATGAAATATTCATGTTTTTTGTTGTTAATGGTAGAAAGTAGCTCCACATGTAGAAGATTTCAGAGCTCCTGCTTTAAGGAAATTATGTAAGGGGTAAATAATTATTTTTTTCCCATTAGATTGCATACGATGATTGCATCCTCTACCTGTTTGCAAATGATGAACCAAGTCGGAGAGACTGGTTAGAAGCACTGATGCATGGCAAGATTTTTATACTATTACTTTCAAGTTGTCATTGACCAAAAACTGTGATTGATATTTACAGGGATTAAGCAAATACTCAGAAAGGACTCTCTATTTTTTAACAGTAATAAAGGGTAATGCCAAGCTCTCTGCAAAGTACCACAAAGGATTTTGGGTAGATGGAAAATTCTTGTGCTGTGGACAGACTATGAAGAATGCTCCAGGCTGCATACAGTGGCACAAAGGTGAGTTCAAAAACTACAGCATATGTACTTCAGATTTTTTGCCACTAGGCAGCAACCCCCTGTCCTTTTTGTTGTTTTTACAAAAATGAAAAAACTAAAGATAAATACCTGTACAAATTTTGAATTGATCAAACAAATCTAAACTGAATGTATACTTTTGAACATGATTTGTTGAAGTGGAAATAACTACATGTTCTACAGAGAACAAAGTTACATGCATAATTTTTCTGCAAACAGTTTAAGAAACTGGGGAAAAAAAATAAAACATAAAAATAAAATGTGCCATAACTTTTGCCCAAACCACATTTTATGTATATTTTTTTCTAAAATGTTAAATTTAGCAAATAAACAGAATTGCACATTTAAACATGCAGAGATCATCTGTACCTTATACAGAAGTACAGTGTACTTCATAAACAAAATCAGCAAAATGTCATATGATGGGGCACCCAAACTCACAATTAATGATATATAGAATAACAAAAGTTTGGCGCATATATATATATATATATATATATATATATATATAAATTAGTGTCCTACTAATTATTTGAAACCTGAGAGGACCGCACATTACTAAAGTATTAAAATCATTTTCTACACCTCTCTGCAACCGATTTGGTTTAATTTTATTAAAAACAGAAGTTCCAAACTTATACATGCTAGTGAATATCAGATGCATATAGTAGATTAGCACGTTTGCACACCTTTATGATTGTGTTTATGTTCTTAAAACTTTAGAAAAAGTGTACTCATAAATGCACTTCCTAAAAATACTACTATCAAATTATGCTTTCCTTCTAATAGACTCAATAGGCGAAAACTATAATTTCTATTTAATTCCTCATATTAAATCTAGTTTATTTTATTCATGTTGATTTTACATTTGAGACCTAAACATCAATCTTCTTTTTGAGTCTGTGAATGTGACATTAATATGTAAAGACATATGACATGGTCTGAAAAACTCCTGCAAAGTCCAGCCTGACACCTCTGACTTTTTAATTGCTATTTCACAAACTGCGCACAGACATCGTATTTTAGTGTGTTTTGTGTATATATATATATATATATATATATATATATGTATATATACATGTGTGTGTGTATATATGTATATTTGTATACATATATATGTATATTTGTATATATTTGTGTGTGTATATATATATATATATATATATATATATATATATATATACACACACATAAAATGTGTGTATATATATATATATATATACACACATTTTCTAAGCCGGTTCTGCTTCTGGGTTGCGGTGGAGCGGGAGCTTATCCCAGCAGCCATTGGGTGGAAGGCAGGATACACCCTGGACAGGTCACTCGTCCATTGCATGGCAGACACACAGACATATACATTCACTCACACCTAGGGGCAATTTAGCGTGTCCAATTGGCCTAACTGCATATCTTTGGATTGTGGGAGGAAACCGGAGGAAACCCACGCAGACATGGGGAGAACATGCATACTCCACACAGAATCAAACACAGGCCATCCTTGCTGTGAGGGAACAGCACTACCCACTGTGCTGGGTAGCTATATACATATATATGTAAACATGTCAGGGTTACAATTTATTTACATTTTAAAATAAAACAATAAGTTATTTTAACAATTACACCTTCTTGAGCCATCAATCTAGCAATATTGGTTTTTAAATCAATTAGGAAATCTAGAATTCCAAGTGTCACAGAATTGCTCATCCCAACAGTCATGTGTAAAGGTTGAGGGCCATATTATACAATAAAAAACACATTTTTCTGCAATTTTAATTGCAAAAATCTATACATGACTAGAGAATATACAATGTAAATGACAAAGAAAACAAATGCCAAACAAATATTATAAAAAATATAATGAAAGTTATTCAGTTGTGTCACTGGTGTTACCGTGTAACAAAAAATCTCTTATTTTGAAATAAAAATCACACCAATGACATCACTTTACTTCCTTTTACATATTTTCTGAGCATCTATGAAAAAAGCACATGGTAAGTTCACTATGTCTTTTCAGTTATCAGAAATTTTCTCATTTAGCTTATGATTTAATATGAAGCTTTTAGCTGAAGTCACTGGTGTAACCTACTTCATTCTTAGGTAATTGTGAAAAAATCTAATACAAATGGATTAAATTACAGATTTTAGTGGTTATTCCATGACTGACTAAACCCTATTTATATTTATGCAGTTTTACTTTGATTCCTTTTTGCCACTTGTCACTATAGAGCAGGCATGTCAAAGAAGGGACCTTCCGGGCCAAAGTGCTGCAGAGATTAGTGTTTACCATCATCTAATGCTCAAAATCTAGTTCATGAAGGCCTTTCTAATTAGCTGATGACCAGAATGAGGTGTGTTTAGTGAGGGAGTCTGCAGTGTTTTGGTCCGTGAGGACTGGAGCCTGTCACACGCTGTAGAAGCATGTACAAAATAGTCGATTTAGTGGGGTATGACCCTTGCCTAAACTGTTCCTGTATCAAATTGTTTGAATACATAACTTCATCATAGGCAATGTTTCATAATCTGCTATACATCTTTAGTGAAGAACCAATTGTGTTTTGAATCTGAATGTATTAACAGATTAGCAGTTGCCTTATTTTTCAGAAAAGTGTGCAATCAGCTGGGGGAAAAGTGTAGCAATCTCAGTCTTGTCTTTTACAGATTCTACAGATGGATTCAGATCATCTGTTCGCAGATTTGGATTACCTCCTGTGCCGTCTTCAGTGGTAAGTAAAATGTTCATACTTCATGATGCATGTTCACAAGAATAAATTACCAGTAAACCCTAAGGAATACAAAGAATACAGTTTGAGGCTCTTTTCCAGCGCAGGGAGAGCATCCTTTTGCCCCCTATCCCAGAGAGTGAAGGTAGCAGTCCCACAGAGGTCGTGGCTCTGTATGATTACTCTGCTGAGAGACCTGGAGAGCTGAGTCTGGTGAAGGGGAACATATACATCTCTTTGGAAAAGCCCTCGGATGACTGGTGGATAGTCAGAGATACAGATGGGTAGGAGCACACCATGGTCTCAAATGGGTTCCACTGGACAGTACTAGATCGAGAATATCCAAATTCAGTTGTCATAATATTCAGATTTTAATAATAATCTCAGGATTAATTCAAGATTCAGTGCAAACCAATATCACATCTAATTAAAATAATGTTACTTTTCATCACTGTCTGCTAGTAAACTCAAAGACTGTTTAACTACAATTCATTATAGTTGGCTTATTAAATGAGACTTCTAAATGTTGTTTCAGGTGAGAGACTGTAGTAAAGTTACCAGTGTTCTTAGCAAGGTTCACTTTTTTTATCTGTTTTTTTTTCCTGCCTAGGTCTGAAGGACGCGTCCCTTCTAATTACATAAAGGAGGTAGCAATCAAAGACAACTACAGGTAAGCCTCCCTACAAGCTTTGCTCTTCTGTGACTTCTTGTTTTCACAACTATAATGTGAACTTATGTTTTATATTTTCCAGCATGAAGAGTGAAATATGTAGAAAGATGATAAAAGAGAGACCGAGCAGCACTAAAACACAGTGAGTTTTCTGCAAAGAGCAGAAACTGTTGCAGCTACTGTTTTCTTCTTCTCCTTTCCACCAGAGGGAGACATTGCATGCATTCACTGAAGGTGCTTTGTCCGTTGTTATATGCAAAAGTGTGGGTGCCCTTGGTCATTTTACATGTTTGGTTAATTTTCTTTTTTTTGTTGAATTTTGAAGTGAAAATAAGTACACATCCTCTACAGAGAACACACTTCTGCACATTTAATGCACAGCTACTGTGTATTTGCTGAATTTAACATGTTGGGAAAAAATAAAACACAAAATGTGTCCTGTGCAAAAGTTACGGCACATTTAATATTTTAGTTTTTTCCAAATATGTTGAATAGATAAACAGAAATTGTCCACTAATATTTGCAGAAAATGACATTTTTAAGTTTGTTTAACCTATTTAAACTTTGTTCAAGCTTTTGCAAATGACTATATTCAATTCCTAAATCACACTTGAAAAGAGGCATGGCAGTATATGTATTGTCGCTACTACAAAATGGAATGTCTTTTGGTTATGACTGTTTCTTCAAATGCATGTCTCACTGAATGAAAGTATGGAACTTCACTTTGGTTAAGAAATGAATAACACTTTATGATGAGTTCAACAGTCCATGTGCTTTTTTTGTCCAGCATGAGAATCTCAAGTGAATCAGCTTCAAATGCCTCACCAGAGAAAAGCAACATAGAAGACTATCCGTGAGTATCTTATTCACCTCTTTCTCACTGACCTTGACTCAGGTGACATTCTTTAATTAAACAGAACTACAGAAATAGCCTAGGTAATGGCTTGTCAATCTTTATGTAAACATATACAGTAATCCTAATAATAATGCTATGAGAAACCCAATTCCAAAAAAAGGTTGGGACAGTATGTAAAATGCTGCTAAAAACAGAAAGCTTAATTACATAATTTTAATTAATTATTTTATATTTTATTTTGGTCTAATCTATGTTCTACTTCACAAATAACACACTCAGCTTGTCTAGATGGCATTTACTTGTTGGATTATGTTTATTAGATGCTTAAGAAAACTTATTGTTGTTTATTAACTGCATATAATTAGTATGCTGCTGAGTGATTCACCTGACCTACAAAGGCGCATCGCAAGCGGAGCTAGTGGACGCACATGCCCAGCTAGCGAGCTGCTGTGCTAAAGGCTAAAGCCCATTTCACACCAGACACGGTATCCGTGACACATGACGCGCTGCACAGTGCCGCGTGCGATATGCTCCTATATTAATCAGTGTAGCCTTTCATACGGGTCGTGCGCAAAAATGCGCTTTGGATCTATTTCTGCTAGCAGTTTCTATGCAGAAACAGTAAAGAAATGCGATGTCTATGCTATAATATACAATCTAGGCTAATAAACAATTCCAACAAATCTGTTTTTAACTATTTGACAGGTTGACTGAAATCCCTTGAGTAGGTTAATGTTGTGAACACAGTCATCTCCTCCTTTTTATATAGAGCTACACCACCTGGTGAGAAAGCCAGCAACAGTCACGACAGCTATCAAATTGTTATTGTTGATCTTTTTATGTCATCTACATAAAGTTTTTCTGAGATAAACGGACAATGTGGCCATTTATGTTACGTGAAAACACAGCACAAACAGCAACCGCTCTTGTTTCGCGACGCGTGTGTATCACGTCCGGTGTGAAATACCAAGCGTCTGGTATGAAATGGGCTACCCTGTCAATATGCCAAGAGTCTGGCGGTTCCTTCCGCACTCTCAGCAGCAGGCGAGTGATTACTGAAAGAAGCAGCTCAGCCATTAAGGTAAGTGGCTCCTCATTATTTTTTGCCGTCCCAGAAACATACTGGTTTTAATACAGTGCCGTCTGAGGGATCGAAGGTCATGGGGTTTCATTTGTGATTTTTGGCCTTTTCCTTGTTGATAAGATACAACATTAATTAATATGTCTTTGTACTGTGTTTGTTCAAATACAGGTGAAAGTAGATTTATAAATCACTGCTTTCTGTTCTTATTTGCATTTTTCCTACTATCCCAACTTTTTATTGGGGTTGTAGTAAATTGTTGTTTGTATTGTTATTGTTATTATTGTTTTGTTTTTGTTGATTAACTTAAATTAACCCATTTTTGCCTGAATCTTCCCTGTGATTTGATACTAAATGTGTGAAACACCTTCACACATTTTTATTCTTTCATATGTAAATAAGAGAAAACAAACATAAAATTCTAAAATCGCATAACAAAGCATAAATAATATGACCAATAATATTAAACGGAAAATACAGAATTTGCTAATTCATCAAATGTATGACGTATGCATTTCTCAAGCATATCTGTCACATGCTGATTTGAACTCTTCCAGTTGGTATGTGGGAAACCTGTCTCGAATAAAGACTGAGCAACTGCTACGTGAGAAGGTGCGCAACATCTTTAACCTGCTCTTAGTGCATTCCCAGCCTTTCCATCCACAAGAAAGTTTCTTTATTTTTTTATTTTTTTTTTTTTAAATCTTGCATTGTCATTGTCATTGATGCCATCATTCTTAATGGAATTAAAAAAAATGCTTATGCAAGATTTACATTAAGATGGCTTTAGTGAGTAATGTGCTACTTTTATTGCCTGTGTCACCACATTGCAGGGCAAAGCGGGCTCATTTGTGGTGAGAGACTCTAGTCAAAAAGGATCCTACACAGTTTCACTATTAAGTCGAGCACTTGAGTGAGTAGAGAGGAGAGGTAACACACACAAACACACAGACTTACACTTTCACACTAGATGCACCGAGAGTTCCCTTAGATGTTGCATCATGCTGCCATGATGCAACATCGAGTTTTTCCTTGCCACTGTTTGATGTTGCTTTGTTCACATTAGGTGTCTGAAATTCCCCACCCACTTATGGGCCACGTATGCCTTTCATCTGTTGTGGAAATGCCATTGCCAATCTGTAAATTTTAACCATAATGTTTTTTTTTTCAGTGAGGTAAATGGGACTGTAAGGCATTACCTCATCAACGTGAATGCCGAGGGCAAATATTACCTGGCCGAGAACCATCTATTTGACTCCATCCCCCAAATGATAGAGTACCATCAACATAATGCAGCAGGTGTGGGTTCTTTTCAGTCCTCACACATGGACATCCCCAAGCACACACTCTTGTATCTTGGCTCATGTACATAAATATAAAACGATATCATGCATACACGCCCACATCCACGTGACTGGTTCTCTGTGAAAAATTGCATCTTTTTAGAAAGTCTGGTGTAGTTATGTTTTTGTTGTAATTGGAAAAACACTTGAATGTTTAACATATGATCCACATCTAATTTAAATACTACGCACAAAATCCATCTAATACAGGCCTCATTCTTTTTGGTCACATGTCAAAACTGTTTGTGTGTGTGTGTGTGTGTATGCGTGTGTGTGTTGGGGGGGGGGTTGTATGTGAATGCATGTACTTGTGTGGGATAGCATATGTGAGAATATTGTTGTTAGGTCTTCTTACAAGCTAACAATGTATGCCTTTTTAGGCCTGTTGACCAGACTGCGTCACCCTGCCACGGAATCTGATATCACATCTCCGTCAGCACACGGTGGGTCAGACTAATAGCCACTGCTTGAGCCCATGAACACCCTGGGACAACCTACACATTTACTTCATAAAGCTAATAAGCAAATTTTATTCATTAACAATGCAGATTATGAAAAGCAAAAGAACAAAAACACTGTTTGATATACACATACTTTATATATGTAATGGCATGTCTCAAAACATGTTTCTCTACTTACGAGAATTAGTATGGTTATGGTTAGATTTAGAGTAAACGTTGTACTGATTTTTGCACAGTACTGTGCAAAAGTTAGAATTGAAAATGCAGTCCAAATGGCCATTAAGTACAAATCATTTGTTTTACAGCATCGGGAAAAACACAGAAAACATATTTTTAACAGATAACTGCACAAAGCAACAACTAAATATAATATCAAAGACCCTTGGCCTTTATTACAGCTCTATTCTTTTATATGTATCAATCATTTATATATTCTTTTACATATATTTCCTTTAGGCATTTTAGATGCGCATGCAATAGAAATTTCCAGGGCAGATAAGATGTGCTTGGGTAGCTGTGTTGTCTGTGTGAATGTTAGTATTTGTCTGAAAGGCAACATAATGTCAGTGACACCTTTGGCAACAACTTTGGTTGGGAGGAAGCTGCTGTAACTTGTTTTTAAGATAGGAAAGATGGCAGTATGGTGCACAGTTATGTGCATAAATATGTTTCCTGCTTTCTTCTAACACTAAATATTGACTAATTTGTTCTTAATGGCTATTTGAAAATTAAATTAACAAAAGGGTGGTCTGTGACTCCTGCACAATAATGTATCCCCTTGCTTTTTATGGGGCAATTTCAATTAAATTTAACCCATTGAATTGTAGTTTTATTGTTGTACTTTTCACAATTCACAGTGGATACTGGGGTCATGAGGGCAGGGCAGTAGATTGCATTATTGAGAAGCTCTGTATATTTCCACAGAAGTTTGTGCATATGTTATGATTGCATTTAGGGGAGTGGGAGCTGTCTCGTGATGACGTTAAACTGGTGAAAGAGCTGGGCAGCGGGCAGTTTGGAGTGGTCCAGCTAGGCATGTGGAAAGGCCAGCACGAAGTGGCCATTAAAATGGTGAAAGAGGGCTGCATGTCGTCCGATGACTTCATAGAGGAAGCCCAGATCATGATGTGGGTTCCACTGACACTTTTCTGCTTCCTTTCTCATTGCCCTTTTCCACTCTGGCTGACTTTAATATCACTGGGCTCTGTGGTTGGATGTTTGTGTGTGGTTTTCTGTACTTATAAGAACTAGTGTGATAATGGTTAGATTTAGAGTAAACTTTGGTAACATTGGGTCATGGTAGTACTTCAGTATAGGTCAAATGGTGGAAAGGTCCAAATAAACAGAATTACTTCCTGTTTTGATTTCAAATATAGTGTTGCATGCAGCCACATTTGGGACATTCCAGCCTAAAACTAGCAATTAATATGTTTCTTGTCATGTTAATAATATTCTGAATTAGCTTACAGCATTGTATTCCTCAGCCTGATCAATTTTGTGTACTTCTCGTGTCATGAACGTTCTCTCACTATGTGTCACAATATGCATGTACATTTAAATTTTTTTTTTGATACGGGAGTTGCAAGATGGTAGGCATCTCAGTTAGATTTCAGGCTGTAAAATGCACGATAACAGGAAATCTTTCTAATGCTATAGTTCCTCTTAACATCCATGATAGTTCCACATGTTATTTTAACCTGCGCAGCTCTCTGAACTGGAAAAAATGGTTTGGTAAGCCTACGCTGCACAAAGCTGAAAATAGTGTCTTATTTGCCATCTTCTTACCCGACTTTTCCATTGTACCTTAATGGGTGCATCAGTTACACTGTGGTGTCTGAGGAAGTAAGAGGATAACTTCATCAGTTTGTACCTGAACACATTTTCTGTTTGGGTACATTTCGATTCCCAGTCAAATACCAGAATGATGGGTGCACTATTATATCCTATAAATATCCTCCTGTTTTTAGGGGTCCAAGCACCATAGGTGCATGGAACCCTCTTGCTTTTGCTAGCGTTTTTAGGGGTCCAAGCACTGTAGGTTTCTTTTTCTTCCCTAAAACTGATTGGGGAGAAGACACCGTAAGTCATCCAAACATGAAACTTGGAGGGTAGGTGTAGTATCTCCCCCACTACGCAGGCAAGTGAAATTACTTTAATTTGACCTTACATAAGACCTTAATTAAGCCCTTCAGAGTTAAGCTTAATTAACTAAATTTGATATGCATGTACAAAGTAATGAGCTGAGGAGATTTTTGAAATTTGGCTTGAATTCATCTCAGGTGGACCTTACATTGGTCAATCCTGTGGCAACAATCTAAAATATCATTATATCTGTCTGAGATTAAAGTAAGAAAACAATAATGGTTACAATATTGCTTACCAAATCTTAAGCATTTCTCAGAAATCCAATCTGCTGTCTTCTGCGACCACAAGCCAACACATAAGCCCTCTTTTACTGCTTGGACCCCGCAGATCGCTGCTTGCAGCTAATTTAATTTTTTTTTTTTGTTATTTGCTAATGGCCTACAGCTTAAGGTTTTCAGGTGGAGCTTGTGTGCATAGATTTGGTTCAGCATTAAGCTAATCAGTCTTGGCACCTACCATGTATTCCTTATACAACTGCATGCACCAAACCATAACATCTGTACATCATGACAGTTCAGGAAAAATACACGTAACCCTATTCCCCACAGCATTAAAGAAATACTGACTGCTAGCACAGCCATTGGCATAGAAGCTAATAAATACAGAGGTGATATTTGGGTTACCAGCGTAGCCAGCTAGCAGAAAAAAAAAACAAACATTTCAAGCAGGTATACTTGGCAAAGTTGTAGTTCATCAAAAGTTCTTCCCACCTGTAATCAAAATATATCATAGTCTTTAAACTAAAGGACTACACTTCAGAGTCTATTGTTGCATCACTGTTAATAGTATGTTTACAAGAGATGTGGTAATGAATAATTTTTCATTTCATGCTTTTCATAAGCAAGCCAGTACCAGACAGATTAATATAAAAGAGTAGGCTATACAGCAAAAAAATATATTAAATCACACTTCTAATATACTATTTATATATATATATATATATATATATATATATATATATGAATATGATATGCATATCATGTATAATGCATATTTAGTTGTTCCAAATGTGGAACAAACAAAAAAGCCATCCAAAAACTACTATCAAAATTTTTTAATTTTATTAAATATTTTACATACTTAACTGCACTAAATCCAGTTAAACAGGCGATATCCACGATATGCTTAGAGAAGCATATTTTGTTATGCAATGACAAATAACAATAAATATTGTTGTATTGCCCACACCTAGAATGTCATTTGAATTGGACTGCAACTATTTATGAACACAATCATCTTCATTACAATAATGTGTTATTTTGTTGGTGCATGTGGGCTTTTGTGTGCATGTGTGTGCTCAAAGGAAACTGAGGCATCCTAAGCTAGTGAGACTCCACGGTGTATGTACCGAGCGTTTTCCCATCTACATCGTGACAGAGTTCATGAGTAACGGCTGTCTGTTGGATTACCTGAAGAGCCATGGAAAAGAACTGCAGCCTCCACAGCTCCTTAACATGTGCCTGGATGTGTGTGAGGCAATGGCCTACCTTGAGGATCAGCAGTTCATTCACCGAGATCTAGTAAGTGCAAACATGCACCTAACACTAAGACTGTTCAATTCTGATTTTGGAGTTGATTGAGTCGTTTCCAAGAGTCAGTTCCACACAATTATCTCAATTCCAAATGCCAAGAGGTAGAGAAGGAAATCTGGCAAAACTAAAGTGTACAATATTAATTATATTTTATTATATTTAATTATATTTTAAGGAAATTTAGAGAGCTAATGGTAGTTAAATTAACCTAGCTGACAAAAGAGGGCTGGCTAAGGTGTTCTTGCCTTATATCAGCTCTATTTCATTGGTAGATGTTTTGTCACTGGTTATGCTGTTTGATTTGTGTTTGACAATTTTTCATTACAAATATTCAATTTTGTTTTCTATTTTATGTAAAGTACAGTACAGCTGAACTTAATTGTGGAATTGTGTTATTTTTATGAAGACTGTCTTGACAGTGACAACAGAGAAGCATGCGGGTGTAAGTAGTAAGCAACTTGAACGTGAACTTGAACGTTGCTGTGTGGAATAGTCCATAGTTTTGGAGTCAACTCTTGATTCTCGACTCCTGAATGTCTGGAATCAAGGAATTGATTATTTCTGGATCCACTCCCGGGCCAGCACACACACATACACACATACATAAATTATAGAGGTTTAATTTCTGCTCCTTCACTGTGTGATGCCCATTAATCCATTAAATGTTGTTGATTATTTCTCTCAAAGTGTAATGGGTTAACATTGCTTACTACTTACTATTATTATTATTATTATTATTATTATTATTGTTATTATTCAGCAGGAGACATAATACTCTGGTCCTAGGGAATTAGTGGATGAGGTGCATGTATAGTTTGATTCAGAGGAGTTCAAAGCATATATTTTATGTAGGGCCAGCATCAAAATGATTTGTATTTCTGATAAAACTATACAAATATTTTGTTCTCTTAAAGACCTGAGTAATGCTAGTAATGCAATTCTTATGAAGTCAGTAACCATAATGTAATTAAAAAAAAATTTGAACTGTAGTTACATTACTTTATTACAAGAAAAAGTCATCAAAACTGCTTCCAAAAACTACTTAACAAAAGTTCGACTGGACTTCCAAAGAGTGTTAGAAAGCTGTTTTTTATCGTAAAACTGGATCGTTCATTGGGTCTTGTATTGGACTATATAACTTGGAGGACCACTTTCGCATTTGCTTTGTTGGTCAACGGTCATTCTTTCGAAAGGATTGGTAATGTATGTGTTCATTTGTGGGCTTCAGATTAGATGTTCAAAATAGCTCATTTCTTCTTGTCATGCAGGCTGCAAGAAATTGTTTGGTGGACAAGGATCTTACTGTCAAAGTGTCTGACTTTGGAATGGCGAGGTAACATATAACACAATCTTACACTCACATACATACTAATACAGTTTTGGATTACAAAGACCAAAGTGCCAGAAGTTGAACTACATTAAACAGTTTAAAGTAGGTTCTCAGCCTTTTAAATTTAATGGCAAAATAATTAGTGAGGCTTAAATACAAAATACTATTTTTATAATACTCACATTAATGTTAGTAACATAGTAGATTTATTAGACTACAAACCCCCTGCTCACTGCCGAATTATTATGAAATTACGACCCAGTATCAAAAAATCTGTGGCCTGGTTCTTGTCTGCAGCCCAGTGATTGGGAACCCAGTTTTCCCTCTTACCTCAAAAAAGTCAATAAGCCAAAACATTGTTGGTGTCTAAAGTCTGCTTCTGTAGTTTTGCACTGAAGTTACAACATTAATGTAACTAAGTAACAGAAGTAATAGAATAGTCTATAGACTAAAAGCAGTAACACTGGGCAGTATACATAAGGCTACATGACACCTACACACCTTCATGACAGCTTACACAGAGCTACTTATTCCAGTTAGCATCATTTGTCAGAAAGGTTGTGTTTGCCAACTTTGATATCAAGTTGACATAATTTTGTCAGATGACATTGACTTTTTTCAGACATTAGGTTGTGTCATAACTCTTTCTGGGGTGAAATGAATTTGTGATGTGAACAGTGAATAATCTGTTATTTGCCTGACTAACATTCTTAAGCAAACACAGTGTTATTAGTAGTGTTCATTTAGCACAAAGAACACACGGGGGGGTGAAGCACTGAGAAATGACAGACTGCATGTTTGATAAAGACAGCTTGATAAACAGCTGGCCTGGGCGGGTTCTTGGGCCTGTATCCACAGACTACCTAAAGAGTAGTGCTAATCTAAAGTCAGTTTTTTGTGAAGTTGACCATGGTAAATATAGAGGAATCTGACATCAGTTCTATGATTCAGGACTGGTTTGTTAATATCAGTCTATGCATGTGTGGGGGATGTATGGGGTCTACATGCATGGTTGTTTTTGTGTTCATTCCCTATCTGCAGATACGTATTGGATGATCAGTATACCAGTTCTGTAGGCACCAAGTTTCCAGTGAAATGGTCAGCCCCTGAGGTTTTGAACTACACCAAGTTTAGCAGCAAGTCTGACGTGTGGGCTTTTGGTTTGTTCCATTTCGCTCATTCCATTTTTACATTTTGCTTTCATCTTTCCTGATAACTAAATGGCATGTTCATTATTTTTGGCATTAAAACCTAATTTATACATCCACATAAACACACTGATGTTCACATAAACACATAAACATTGACCCACAAGACAAATTTCAAATTCTATCTCTTTGGGCATTGCTCAGTTTTTTTCAATACCATCATCTGTAGTATCGATATCAGTATAATTTGATACTGATAACTGAATTATATTTTTTAACACATTCTTTACATACAAGAAATATTGAATTCAAAGTTGTATATTATTGTAGATTGCAGAGTAATCAAAGGATTTTCAGAAGAACTTAGGGCTGGGCGATATAACGATAATAATCGTGGTCTAAATTTTCCTCGATAGAGCGTTACGTCATGTTCGATAAATGGTCGATATAATACACCATTCTCACACTTCCACGTTCAGCGAAAGCCTTGGTGGCGTTTTCTACTGCAAGGAAAGCAACACTACTCTGCTGTCGCCAGGAGAGGGCGCACTTCCGAGTTTTTCTACATGATTAGAGAGGGAGGGGGCCACGAGTAAGATGAGTCTTTAGCAACGGCTGAAACGTGGAGTTATACATTCCCTGTTTGAGTGGAGCGACCAGCGATCTGTTCTCCTGTGACCGAGTGTGAGTGACGAGGTCAGTGGAGTAACTATACTGTCCTTCAGCGAACTCACCTCTTTCCTAACATCCTAACCAGCTTTAGCAGCGTTAAATCACAATCACAATCCTCACAACTACAGCACTGTTACAGTGTTTGTTGTGTTCCGACCATAAAGTATAGTTTAAAACAGCAATTAACCCCCCAGGACCAAAAATCAGCCTTCAAACCCGAAAGAAATAATGATTTGACATTTATCGCGGTATGTATCGATATCAAACGATATGAATTTTGTTTATCGTGATAACATTTTTGGCCATATCGTAGACGTAAACAACCCAGCACCAGTGGCAGTGGTGAGTGACCGCCAACGAGTCTAGAGATGGCACACATAGCAGGCAATACCTACAAACCCCAAATGAGAAAACACTGGTGAATGTCAGAATCTTCATGAAAACTGAAAACTGTGGGTTTAAGGAAGTAATTTCTTCTCAAGAACAGTTGGTGAATGAGGCCCAGTGTCTCTTATTGGTGGAACAGGCTTTAAGGACTATAGGTAGTGTATTTCTTTATGAGGAATGGAGGAAAAAAAACCCAATTTCAAAATAGTTGGGGCACTGTGTAAAATGTACAAACATGTAAATGAAAACAGAATGCAATGATTTTACCATTTCATAAAAAAGTACAGTATTAATTCATTTAGAACTTGATGGCAGCAACGAATCTCAAAAAAGTTGGGACAGGCGTTGTGTAGCATTGTGACATTGACATTGTGTAGCATCCCCTCTTTTGTAACAACAGTCTGTAAATGTCTGGGAAGTGAGGAATACAATTGCTAGAGTGTTGGGAGAGGAATGTTGTCCCATTCTTGTCTGATGTAGTATTCTAGCTACTCAACAGTCCTGGGTCTTCTCTGCCAGATTTTTCGTTTCTAAAGTTTGGACTGCAGGCAGGCCAGTTCAGCTCTCAGACTCTTCTTCCGCAAAGCCCTGCTGTTGTGATGGATGCAGTATGTGGTTTAGCACTGTCTTGCTGAAATATGCAAGGCCTTCCCTGAAAGAGACGCTGTCTGGGTGGGAGCATATGTTGTACTGAAACCTCTGTATACTGTTCAGCATTGATAGTGCCTTTCCAAATGTGTAAGCTGCCCACATTATAGGCACTAATGCAACCCCATACCATTAGAGATGCAGGCTTTTGAACTGTGTGCTGATAACAGGCTGTATGGTCCCTCTACACGGCATCCATGGTTTCCAAAAAGAATTAAAAATTTTGATTCATCTGGCCACATAAGTTTTCTATTTTGCCTCAGACCATTTTAAATGAGCTTTGACCCAGAGAAGACGACAGCGTTTCTGGATCATGTTGACATATGGCCTCTTCTTTGCATGATACAGCTTTAACTTGCATTTGTGTTCACAGACAGTGATTTCTGGAAGTGTTCCTGAGCCCATGCAGTGATTTCCAGTACAGAATCATGCCTGTTTTCAAGTGCAGTGCCGCCTGAAGGCCCAAAGATCACGAGCATCCAATATTGACCGTCGGCCTTGTCCCTTGTGTACAGGGATTTCTCCAGATTCCCTCTTATGATGATATTATACACTGTAGATTTATAATTTTATGTGGAGGAACATTTTTCTGAAATAGTTCCACAATTTTTAGATGCAGTTTTTCGCAGATTGGTGAACCTCTGCCCATCTTTGCTTCTGAGAGACTCTCCCTCTCTAAAATGCTCTTTCTATACCCAGTCATGTGAGTTAGTTGCCAATTGCTCCTCCAGCTGTTCTTTATTAGTACCACTTTTCCAGCCTTTTGTTGCCCTTGTCCCAACTTTTTTGAGATGCTGCCAACAAGTTCTAAATGAGTTAATGTTTTTCATGAAATGGTAAAATGTCTCACTTTCAGTATCTGATACGTGTTCTATGATTTATTGTGAATAAAATATGGATCTATGAGATTTGCAAATCATTGTTTTAATTTACATTTATCTACATTTTGCACAGCGTCCCAACTTTTTTGAAATTGGGGTTGTACATTGTGTAGATGCTGGCTGATTTTGCTTGGCATCTGGTCAGTAACACTGGCTGGTGTAATCCAAATGCATATATGTGCCCAGTGTTAGGCTGTTACTGCATAGCCCACCAGAATTTTGTCAAATGAACATTTACAAATTGAAAACTTGTGAGATTTGCATTCACAGCCGTGAGACTCAGTTCCTCTATTTCTAAAGCCTATCCAGTAACGTGGTCTGCTTAAAATCACCTGCAATCCATTGCTGGTATACTTTCTTTATAGTAAGTTCTCAAGGCAAAGGCATATCAGCCTTCTAGTTCTGAGTTTAAATCTGTACCATATCTTTTCTTCAGTGCAAAATTTGGTGAATAATGATAATGATGATGACTTTTTCATGTAGGTGTGCTGATGTGGGAGGTGTACAGCCTGGGCAAGCAGCCCTATGAGCACTACGATAACGCCCGTGTAGCAGAGAGAGTTTTGCAGGGCCATCGCCTCTACAGACCACAGCTGGCCACAGATCAGATATACCAAGTTATGAAAGCATGCTGGCACGAGGTAGCAGTATGACATTTCTCTTCTTTTCTATCTTTTTTTTGCTCTCACAAACATAAACATTGAAACTGAGAAATTTTTAAGCAGGGCATTCGTATATCATGTGCAAAATATATGTTTCATGAACCAGTTTTTCACCAAGATGTCAAATTACACCCAAGTGAACAACTTGAAGAATTGTTTCAAAAATGTGTTTAATATGGCTGACTTTCTGTCAGCTGTGTACAAGAGAATAAAAATCACTGTCACATTCATTATAGCACTTCTGAAAAATATGGTGTGAGTTTTTAGAGAATTCTTGAATGTTCAGGAAATTCTGCTGTTTTGATTATTTTTCCTGGCTGTATTTTAGGGCAGGGCAATATGACCAAATTTATTGTTATCCTATCGTTATGCTTTTAGAGCATATTGTGGATAACATCAGTACTTAAAAAACAATCCCAGCTGCATGCTCAATTTCAAAGACAGCATCATTAAAATTATTCCGGTAACACTTTACATTAAGGGTCGCTAATCAATCATTAAATATATAATAATCAACTATTAGTTTCCCATTATTCAGTTATTAGTTAACTCTCCATTAAGCATTAGCTATTACTTAGTAATTGATTAAGCACTTATCAATTAGTAATTAAGTACACTGTTAGTTGATAAGTTAGTTTGTCGTTAGTTTGTGGCTTACTTACTCATTATCTGTGTGCTAATTGCTGCTTATTACATTGTTAATTAACTAATACGTATTTTTCTTCATATAAAGAAGTAACGTGATAACTTACTAGCACCTATGTGTTAATCCCGCTAATTATCTGTTAATTAACTTTCCATCATCTCTATATATTCAGTTGCTTCACTTTTCTCACTTTGGTTCTTGTTCATTAAAGATGCTTATGGTCACATATGACCATAAAATGAGTGCACACAAATTCATGGACGGTTTTGTTATTCATCACGTTCATCTTGGCATATCTGTACTCATATCTGGTAGGAGTGCACGTAAATTTGGACATAAATGCTGGATATGTGGCTACTTAACCAAAACTATTATCAACATAATCTGTAACAGTAAAAATAAAAACAACAATAGAAAATATCAATAATACTAATTTGTGTGTGTGACAGTCCAGTACAGAAGTTGATGTACTTACTTTACATGCACATTGATAGAAACAAGTGCTGCAACTATTTCATGTTCCATTTAAAGACACATTACACTGTGATTTTGTTTCATACTACTGACTCACAAACACAGCACTCTACTATGTTAACAACACTGAGTATTTAGTTTTATTTCACATTTTATTTTTTTCCAGTTGTTTTCATTTTAATACTATTAAGTTTGGTCAGCAGGGGAGGAGTGCACTCACTGCTGGACATCAAACTCCAGCCATGAGCACGGCCATTAGCTTTCATGCCAAACACTGCCGTTTTATTGGCTGGCTACTGAAACATCTGCATGAATTAGGGTGTGATTCATGTAAATGATATGTAAATGAGGTGCTGGTCGGCTGGTTTCATGCACTGAAGCTGCTTTATCATTTATGCTCAAATCTCCACTTGTTTCCACATCCTACAAAGTTGTTATGAATCAGACACAGAGCAGTTCAAACCTTATAAAAGGCAAAAAAACTTGTTCTTTTTCACGTAACTTTGATGATTAATGGCCATTAGATCTTTACATTTTGACCATTAATTACTTCTTAAATTCTACTTAATCAACCATTCATTGCTTCTTAAATTCCTCTCACTTAATCATTACTTCTTAAATTCCTCTTACTTAACCATTAATTACTGCTTTTGTGTCCCTCCACGTAAAGTGACAACACAAAAGCAGTAATTAATGATTAAGTAAGAGGAATTTAAGAAGAAATGAATGGTTGATTAAGTGAAATTTAATTAGTAATTAATGGTCAAAATATAAAGATCTAATGGCCATGGGCCCTTTTCACAAAGAGTCGCGATTACGTCCAGATTAAGCATTAGCAGTGAACTATAATGCTCAAATACTGAGCTACAACAGACATGTTAGTTTTCGTGCACTGTCATGACAAAACGAAGTGAACGGAAGCACTGATTTAACTGTAAACACAGCTAAAATGCTGTGTGTGGTGTAGCCCTGCTTACTGCTGCTACAGCTGCTCACATCAAGCAGTGTCTCTGTAGCTGTACAACATGCCAGCGATTTCTGTAATATTTCTGTTTTCAAAAGAAATTAAAGTTCTTCTGTGTAGTATGAATTTGGTAGACGTTGTTTAGCTGTAGCTAGGTTAGCTAGCAACGCTAGAAGCCATTTCTAACTGTAGCTGTATTCCCAAAATAAGGAAGCTAGTTAGCTTTCATTAGCTGCTGCCACCAGCCGGCTAACGTGGAGCAGGTTCTGTGACACATTTAGCTACATGATGGCAGCGACTTCTGACATAACACAAACAAAAACTTTTATATGTAAAGTCTGTTTGATAGACATCGTTTAAACTGTATTCGCTTACGGTAGGCTAGCAGGCTACAGTCGCTAATTAGCTAGCCTGCCTTTAGCAGTTTCAGGAGCTCCAGCTTCGAATGAGTAGCACACTTTAAAGCTAAGTTAGCTCTAACGCTAGCTATGTTAGCGATCTGCCAAACAGCATTATTCTTATGGTTTCAAGGCAATTTTTGAAGCAGCACTTCAGAAAACATCCACCTTTCACTGCTCAGTCAAAAACGCGACTCCTAGCTGAAAAAAACATCTGAAAAAGCTGCTTCATGTTAGCCGGGCTAGTTTGGTTAGCAGTAGCTTCTAGCCAGTATAGCTAGGTAATATAAACAGAGTCTATAAAATTCATGCTACATATAAAAGTTCTTCTTTCTTTTGAAAACAGAATATTACCGAATCGCTGGCGTGTTGTACAAAGACACAGAGACGGCCTGATGTGAAGCAGCTGCAGCAGAACTGCAGTAAAAACAACATACAGCATCTCAGCTCTGTTTACAGTTAAATCAGAGCTTCCGTCCACTTCTTACTCTCACTGTCACAGCCGTGCAGGAAAACTACAATACAGCTGTTGTAGCTCCGTGTTTGAGCATTATAGTTCACTACTAAACATTCTGACATCGCATCTGCAGTAGCTTTATGGAGAGGAAGTGAGTTTTACCCTGCTAATGCTTAAACCGGAAGTAGTCACGAATCTTGTGAAAAGGGCCCATTAATCATCAAAGTTACGTGAAAAAGAACAAGTTTTTTTGCCTTTTATAAGGTTTGAACTGCTCTGTGTCTGATTCATAACAACTTTGTAGGATGTGGAAACAAGTGGCGATTTGAGCATAAATGATAAATCAGCTTCAGTGCATGAAACCAGCCGACCAGCACCTCATTTACATATCATTTACATGAAGCACATCCTAATTCATGCAGATATTTCAGTAGCCAGCCAATAAAACGGCAGTGTTTGGCATGAAAGCTAATGGCCGTGCTCATGGCTGGAGTTTGATGTCCAGCAGTGAGTGCACTCCTCCCCTGCTGACCAAACTTAATAGTATTAAAATGAAAACAACTGGAAAAAAATAAAATGTGAAATAAAACTAAATACTCAGTGTTGTTAACATAGTAGAGTGCTGTGTTTGTGAGTCAGTAGTATGAAACAAAATCACAGTGTAATGTGTCTTTAAATGGAACATGAAATAGTTGCAGCACTTGTTTCTATCAATGTGCATGTAAAGTAAGTACATCCACTTCTGTACTGGACTGTCACGCACACAAATTAGTATTATTGATATTTTCTATTGTTGTTTTTATTTTTACTGTTACAGATTATGTTGATAATAGTTTTGGTTAAGTAGCCACATATCCAGCATTTATGCCCAAATTTACATGCACTCCTACCAGATATGAGTACAGATATGCCAAGATGTACGTGATGAATAACAAAACCGTCCATGAATTTGTGTGCACTCATTTTACGGTCAGATGTGACCATAAGCATCTTTAATGAACAAGAACCAAAGTGAGAAAAGTGAAGCAACTGAATATACAGAGGTGATGGAAAGTTAATTAACAGATAATTAGGGGAATTAACACATAAGTGCTAGTAAGTTATCATGTTACTTCTTTATATGAAGAAAAATACTTATTAGTTAATTAACAATGTAATAAGCAGCAATTAGCACACAGATAATGAGTAAGTAAGCCACAAACTAACGACAAACTAACCTATCAACTAACAGTGTACTTAATTACTAATTAATAAGTGCTTAATCAATTACTAAGTAATAGCTAATGCTTAATGAAGAGTTAACTAATAACTGAATAATGGGAAACTAATAGTTGATTATTATATATTTAATGATTGATTAGCGACCCTTAATGTAAAGTGTTACCGTTATTCCTAATTGAATTTTATAATTGTATTTAGTGCTGCACAGTATATAAAATGTTTAATGCAAACCATTGGAGTCATAGTTTTTGATAGTAAATTTTTAAACGTGGCACTGCTTTGTCTTTTCCAACCTGTTTTTACAAAATAAGAGCCTGGAGACTGAACAAACAGGCAAATGTATAGCCTCTTGAAATGTCTATTAATCAGCTGCAGGAAGCATGTGTCTGTTTACTGTTTAATATCAGCATTATGATTTTATCAGTTCACTCTTACCTACTGCCTTCTGCTAAGTTCTGTGGCTACAGCCAGGAAAAATATAAACACTTGATCAGTCATATGTCATTTCATATTTATATAGTTTCTGTTCACCTGCAAAAAAAAATAACGAACATCAAGTGAACAAGCTTTTATGCAAATAATATCTGATCATTTACCTGGTCTGACCAAAATTATGTCTGACCATTCTTTCTGATATTTTTACATTTCCATCGAGTCTCGTGTTCCATACATAAAAATTTAAGAAAGGAAACCTAGCTACTGTCTGTTGTTTCCTCTTTCTTGTCCATTTCCTCCTTTCTCTTTTTTCTGTGCTTTTTCTCTGAATTATATTTAAACTGAGTCTGAGAAAATATGCAATAGGTCATTCATCAAGCACATGTGCCCAATGTGTGTGCTTTGTTCTCTGTTTCCAGCTACCAGACGAGAGGCCCAATTTTCATCTACTTTTCAGTGATCTTAGTGCATTTGAAGAGGACAAGTAACATCAATCTGCAGTCATCACACTACATACACTTCAATCTGCAGTCATCATACTACATACACTTCATTTATATATTTACAAATTACTAGAAGGAACGAATCACTTGCAAATAAGCAACACTACTACACCCCATGCCTGTTCTTGGAACCATTATCCTACTGAAGAGCTCAGACTGTAAGCATTCTGTCTACATTACTAACTCCAAGTTCTCTTGATATTAATTGGAGAACCTGTATGATGTCTCTGTCATTGCTACAATACAGTAAAACTATTCATTTCCATGCCGTGCACAGTAAAACCTGAATAGATTGTTAATGTGCTTTTGTATATTAAAATAAGAGAAAGTACAAAACTGTCCCTCTGTAGAAAATCAACATCCACACAGGATCAGAAAAAAGAAAGATCTAGAAACAGGCATGGTCCATTTTTAAAGCCTATGTTTAGAGTTTCAACTGAGAGTGTAAGCAGTTTCACATGAGCTTGTCCTTTTTGTCTCTTTGACATTTCCTTTGCCCTTCTGTATGTGGGTTGTTTATGGCAACCTTCACCCCACTCTTCACCAGAATTCAAGTAAACCTAACTAGGTTATGTACTGTTTCTTTTTATGGTGTATGCTTTCTACCCCACCATATAAAACCCACTAGTGCTTCAGGTTGTTTTCTCTAAAACTGCAGCTCGTACTTGTACTGCAAAATATGAGCAGTTTCCTTGTGCTTATAAATAACCTCAACATAGTGGCCCTGTTGCAGGTGTAGTAGTAATTGCAGGAAGGAGTAAAAAGATGAATTACTTGTAAAACAGTTCAATAAATCATATATATCACACCAGAGATGTGTTATATACTCATTTTTATATCCCACTCCATTCATTGTTTTCCGTATATTCCTTTACCCAGAGCATACCTTCCCTTTTTAAAAACAGAGGTACATTTTTTCTGTTGCTGGTGGCATCGTTGCTTGTTTCTCCTGCAGCTGTGCGCTGCTTCCTCTTTTCTCGAGAAAGCCCCACAATCCAATGAGGTCACCTCTGAACATATTTAGTGGTGTCCTGCCCACTTCTTGCCGTATATATGTGCGTGAGGTCTTGTGCTCCTGCCAGAGTTGTTAGCATCTGCCAAGACAGCAACATGGCACAGGTACAGAGCGATTTTATGCATATATTATGTATATTTTAGTCTATTTACTGTAGCTTTGTAGAGATGTACAAAACAGTTTAACATTTTGGAATCAGTGTATTATATTATCTTATTAAATCATAACTTGCATAGTGCATATGGAAATATAAACCAAAAACATAAACCAGTGATCTAGAGCTTAGTTTATCATTGAACATTTCTTAAACAGACACCTGCAAATTGTTTGAAACCTATAGAGTATTAGCATCATATTATAATAATATTATAATAATTTATCTGCAACAAAGTGGGTTTTATGTTATTTGAAACAGTGATTCCAAACTTTTGAATGGCAAAGCATATCATTATATACCATTATGTATCATTATAAATAATCAACCTTTCTGTCTGTCTGTCTTGCATCACTTCAGTAGATACCTTCACCTAATTCAGCCACTCTTTTACTGAAAATATTAGACATGATATGAAACCTCCTCAGTTTCAGAATGAATTTGACTTGTGTTTCAAGGATTGTGTTTAAAAATTGTTTTTTTGCTGTTTTCTAGGCCAGTCCTTTTTGTGGGGGGGTTTCCCTGCTTCACACTGCGGTTGATGGGAAACACCACTATAAAGTGAAGAATGTTTTGACCCATGCACAAAGTACTTTTGCCAGGTAAGATGACCTGCACATTTTACCAGTCATGCCATGCCACGTGCCAGTGAAACACACAGGATGTATGTGCTCAAATTACGTCTTTACACTGCAACAATTTTACAACTGCAGTATTAGTCAGAAAAATCACAATTGGTTATTTTCCCCAAATCATTCAGTCCTAATTTGTGTCACAAACTACTTTTTGAATAAACTGACACATGAATAGGAACACAAGACACACATTCGTCATGTTTTATAATAACTCTGATTACACAAATCACCAATAGTCTTTTACCAATCCAAATTCTGCTCTGAATGTGTGATCACTAGGAAAAATCACAGAGCATGCATTAAAGGAACACTTGGTCATCTTTTATTCAGAGATAGAGACATGGCAGCACACAGAAAGTGCAGATTCTGCACTGTAACACGTTTCACTATGGCCAGCGTGCATATACATGAGCTGTAATTCCTCTGGCAGAAGATTTAAACAGCCCGAATCCCACTTTTTCTTGTATTTTTACAAGAAATTTTTGAGATTGTATTTTTTGAGATTTGTGCGGTTTTACATATCAAAAACAGTAATAATAATAATAATAACATTTTTCAATGATCATTATCTGACCTTTCTTGGAATTAAGAAAGCAGTTTTCATTACTGCCCCTTTAAGACTGATATATGTAAATTAGACCTGTTCTTTATTGTGTCTGATTCAAAAAGCACTTGAGGCTGAAATGTTCAGGCTCTTTATACCTTTAGCATAAATGGGCAAAGCTAAACTGCTGTCAGCTGAAAAGAGAGATGTATGCAAATGTGCTGGTTTTCGTGACATCACAAAAACAGTTCATTCAAAACAGCTTAGTTTCCATATATAAACTGTATGGAATGAGACTTGAATGGTACATTGTAAAACTTTACCAAAACTTACAGACCACATCAACCTCTTGTTAAAAAAAATGAGGATATTTGGCTGTCCATGATATAAGCCTCGGATTCTCAGAATGGATCACTCGTGAGGTACTTATAAATGAACAAAGAAAGCATGCTTATTTGTTAACATTTTGAAAAACTTTGTCCCCAAACTTTGACAGGTGGTGTACAATGTCCACAGTTTACACTCTGTAGAACCAGTTTACTGTCTACGGGATTTCATGTACAATGCAGCTGTTGTAATAACTTCATGGTTTCTCTACCTTTTTATTCTGCAGGAAGGGAGACAAAATCCTGATGATAAATGGTGTGAAAACTGAGGATTTGCCCCCAGAGAAGTTTACCAGCATGCTAAAGTCAGGATCTCCCATCCTGGTGAGTAGTTTTGGTCGCACACTGACAGATAAGCGAGGTTAGAGCTTTAATCTGGTTGAAATTTTGTTTTGAACCTGAATACAGCTCAATAACTATCTGTCTGAGTCTAACACTTGGCATCAAGTTTTGTGTCCGCACTTTTCGTAATTTTGCTGTTCTAATTAAGTGCAGGGCTGAAATATCAAGTTAGCCTTTACTTGTTTAATTCTAAAGCTGTATTTGTTCACATGAAGATCTTACATATAATGTGTTCAACACAGAAAAATGATTTACTGTTTTATTTTCCAGGCATCTTATTTTTCCAGTCATTATTTTGACATATTTAGACATAGTAAGTCATCATATGGAGCAAGTCAAATTCTTGACATGTTACTACCAGAAACAGAGCAAAAAACATGCAGTTTTTTTGTTCTACACCTGGCAGGAATAGGCATCCATGCCTATGTGATGTGGGTGTCGTGGAGCTCCGTACTTAATTCTGTCTGTGTATGTGGTTTGAGACGCAGCCATAGAACGCACCCACACCTGCACTGAAAATCCAACCTGATAAAGCACTGATGTTGCTAATGATTGTAATGGTGGAAATGTTTTATACAGGTTTCAGTGATTTTACACAGTTTGGAGGCTGTGAAGATAAAGTTTTCTAAGTCTATATGTTACTGCGTTAGAAATTATATGAATATATTCTCAAGAGTTGTCTATCGTTGGTCATGGATGTACGGATCCACTATAGAACAGGGGCAAAGTGGGAGGCGGGCTGTGAGAATCCGAACGTGAAATTTGAAACTGACCTGAGCCCGACACATATTTGAGAAACGTTCAGATATATAGTTCAAACAGTTGCTGGGCAACTGGCATGTGTCAGTGTGCCGCTGAGGCCATTGAAAGTAATGCCAATTACAACTGTTTGTGAGTGTTTGGATCGGTTCTGTTTTTATTTTTCATGTGGAGTTTTGATATTTTCAATCGCAGGCAATGGCATACACAAACCACAGACACACGTACACATATGCACACACACAAACACACTTCAGTTCAGTGAACTGTTAAAAAAGCACTGAACGACAGACAAGGGAAACAAATGACCCGGCTAAGTAAGTGCAAAAGGGACTGAAGTGTGGCACAGGTAATCCTTTTTATAACCCATCAGGACATTTAAAGGGAAGCCACTTTTGAGACTCTACAGATTGTGGTTATTGATATCTAAACGTACATAATTTTTTTTTTTTCCCTCTGTTCACAGACTATACACCAAGCAAGCATTGACACAGGCATAAACGAATGCTTGGAGTCTGATGCTATCCAACCTTACCGCAAGGAGGAGATCACCTTGCACTTCAATATGGCTATGGTTAGAGAGGAGTGTCTGGAGGGAGAAGAAAATGGAATTGATCCAGCTGTGTGTGAATTGGAGAGCGACTGGGAGAATGGGAGTGAATGGGAGAGCAACATTGATGATGAGGAACTGCTCCTTGTGTCCATGAATGAAACCAGCATAGACTTTGTGAGCGAAGGGGGCTGTGATCCTCATGGGTGCAACCTCAGTGAAGTTGTTGTGACAGCTGAGACGTGCGACGTTACATCAGGTAAGAGTTAAAAAAAAAAAAAACTGGTACACACTTTGCATGTTTAAATATTTTTTAGACATAAGGGGGAAACGTATAACAGTTATATTTGGTTAACAAATAATTGATTTCACTTAAATGATTTTGTCAGTATGTGCTCAAATCTCAAATCTGTCAGTACAAGCTCTTGGCCAAAATAATGTCTCTTCCTAGAGCTCGGAAATATAACAATATTTATTGTTATTGTGATAAATCACAACAAAATATGTCACAATATATTTTTCTGAGCGTATCATGATTATTGTTAGCATGTCTAGAGCACGGAACAACTTAATGTTTCATCATAATGAGAGCATAATTAGTCATGTTTAATTGGATTTAGTGCAGTGCAGTTTGTGAAGCATTTCAGAAAAATCAGAAAAATCATTGTCATTCATAGTATTTTTTAAAAGTGTCATCATTGGTTCTTTTAACCATCTGTTCCAACTCAACAGAAAAAATAGATATTGTGACATATCATGTATCATAAATTCTTGAAGTATTATGATACTGTATTTTTTTGATTTCTCTTCCTATAATGTTTGAAGTGGCAGAATGAAACATATGTAGGTCTAAGACCATTTCTTTTTGAGGAAGATCTCCAAATCTTCCGAGTCCTCTGTCTTTGCTTGAGTACTATCCACTTCATGATTGGTTTTAGATCAGATGACTGGGACAGCCTGGTTAGGAGAGCAATTTGTTGAATATATAACATTCACACTTAATACACTTAAAGGTCATATGGCTGTATAAAAGTACAATATACACTGTATGACTAATTAGGGGGTTTGGCTGTTTTAGGCACACCCATTGCTAATTTCTGATAAGTATCAGTCATTTCAACTAATCGTCAAACATGAAGACCTGAAGACACCAACTCAGATAGCAGTCTAAGCAAAACGTCATTTCAGGAAGTGTGATTCCCCACACACTATTGTATTTTATCATAATATATATATATATATATATATATATATATATATAGTTACATTTATGAGCTATGCATACAATGTATTAATACCTGGTGATCTTGTGGTAGAGACCACTGAACTTTTGTTTTTTCAGTTGGCAGGGAATACATCAAGAAGTTTGCCAAAAAACAACACTGGATAAGGCTTGTACAAGAGTTAAACCCACAAAATTTCTTCTCAGGTCAGCACACATTCATATTATATCATTTTACAAGCGATTTTTGTTGCCTTGCCAAGTAGCGAGCCAAGTTGCTCCATCTAAACAGTACAAAATCTAGGCTTCACTGAAAGCTCACAAGGACATGGATTAACAGGGCTAAAGACTAAACACAGAATAATGCATTTTTTTTTTGCAAACCCTGCAGTTTTCATAAAAACTGTTACATCACCTTCTCTTTTACTTTTTTGTTTTTCAAGATGAATGATATAAAGCACATTTCGTGACACATACGCATATTGTTTGTCTTTCAGCGAAAATCACTATCAACTACTACATCTCAAATATACTACCAGATCTTGGTAGAGGTGTCCCTGTTGTACTGAACTTCACTGGCTCTAATACGTTCCTGAAATGCACATTGGAGAGTGGGAAAGTAGTGTTAAAAACTGAGGTAAGTTGTAATTTGTTGAAGTGTTTGTCTTCAAATTTATGCATAGCAGTTCAGTCAAACTTGTCAATCTGATCATCAACACTGACCAGTGGTGTGGTGTTATACTACATATTAGTCAGGAGTTTTTGAGCTTAAAATCAACTTGAAATCAAAAGCTTTAGACATTGATAGTTCATGTCCCTGGCCATATTAAGCATTATTGTATTATTTGGCTACGTCACTGTGCACCAGCAGACCAAGAAAATTAATATTAACCAATAATATCATGATTCAAGCTCCCATTACACCAAACTATTATTAAGTAAAAAGTCTGGTCCTGAAGGGCCAGAATTCAACACAGTTTGACAATGTCCCTGCTCAAAAACACCTACTAAACCTGACAGTAAAAAGCTGAGTTGAATCATGTGTATTTGAGCAGGATTCTGGCCCTCCAGGACTGGAGACCCCTTGTCCAGTCCCAATTACTACAACACTGTTTAATTCCACAAAAGTACAAACACAAAAGAGTGCTACTGGTAGAGAAATAAACATAAAAATATTACAGGTGATCTGTAGAGTGCGGTTTAAAAACTGAGGATGAGTGAATATCCATGGCACTCTTCATCGTCCCTTCATCGTTTACTTGTTCTCACAGTTTAATTCTGTTTTAATTCATTGCATACATTTTGTTATTCAGTCTTTAAAGCCCTCAGTATGGGAGAGCTGTTTGTCTCCTTCTTGAATTGTGGTCTAACTAAACTTATTATATTGGATATTTTAGTGCTGTGATGAAAGACAGCTGCAGAAAATCTGTAAGGATAACGAGCAAACGTGGCCTTTTGTCTTCTACTTCACGACTGTGAAGGACAGCACACAACACTTCGAGTCAGCTGCACACAAAGGTTGGTTTATCCAGACTACATATCCTAAAATCCCTGTGGTTATGGAAAATAGAACAGAACAAAACAGTGGGAGCTTCTATTTCGTCATTTCCTCCAAGTCCTCCACATCACTGTGAGGTCATCTTTTTCCAAGAGAGTCAGTGCTAATTCAACATTCCAATCCACATGGGGCTCAGAGTTGAATTTAATTAATTCTGTAAATGTGAATTGACTGAAAATATCACAGTTGTTAGTATAAATCAGGAGTAGCAAAGGGGTTGAAGTTTCCCTTTGACACTGACTTGTCAAATACTTTATATTCGTCACAGAGTAATATTAACCTCACCAGTATTAATGATTCTCACTTACTTTCATTCATTATAAGATACAGTGCCATTTTTGGTGTAAATATTCTTTTTAAGCCACAGTTTGCAAGTTCTTTTTTGTTAAAACTGAAACAGGCTGCTTTGCTAAGTCAGGACAAAACATGCTAAAATATGGTCTCCCTATAAGCTCAATTTATTAATTTAAAATGATAAAGACTTAATGACAGTAGTAGATCATTAACATCCCTAGAAGACACAACCTTCACCGAGTTTTAAGTGAGTTTTCATTTGGATCATTTGTCCAGAGAGGTCCCCCAAACTTACATATCTTTATCTTTTGATAGATAGAGATCAAAAGGCACCTTCTACCCAAAGCTGGTTAAAAGCTGAGGTACAAATTTTAACTGCCATTGCAGAAACAAGTAGTTATGTGTCATACCACAATTGATTGGTTTTCATTCCTTTGTTTAATGAACGCTTCTTTCATCTTTATAAGCTTCTGTGCTCTTTGCTGTAAGCTACAACACTTCGCATTTATAAAACAAATTTATTCAGTATGAAAAGTCACATTACTTTTGTGCCAATGTGCAGAAATCTTCATTTTGTTTTGATACTACTAAAATGAAAAAAAAAGTTTTTTTTCAATATCTATAATGCTGATAAACAGAATATTTACATATAATGTTTTTACACAATTTAAGAATTTTATATTGTCTTTATTTTTATATATAAAACTGCAGTGCATTGTAAGATTTTCACACAAAAATATCTTCATTTGTTTATGAATGTTACAATAGCTGTAGATTTTCTTTCAGTTGCTGTAATAATTTCTTGGTAATACTGTTTTTGTGGTGTGAGGGTTGGTAGTCTGTTTTTGGTCAGTTCATTAAAATCCTGTTTGCTCACTGTCGCTCTCTTTTTTTTGGTATATCCTCAGATGCTTCATTATATGGCTTTTCAGGCTCCTCAGGTTTCTTGTATTGATTATAAATTAGGTGGTTACATTGTTGAATTGTATTAAACTAAATTGTGATGTTACAAGTGCTATGTGTATCCTTGTCATTTTTGTACCTTCCAATTGTTCTTGCTGTACTTTTTAAACATTTTTTAAATAAAAGTTTCAAACTCTAAAAATGTGTCTGTGTTCATGAACTTGTTTGGTAAATAGTTTGCCTTTTAGTGTTTACATTATAAAAGTTAAAATTATGGAATATTATTAATGTATTTATAATAAGGTATAACTTAAGACATAAATCACTTTGCTACTTTGCTTGAAGCACACAGTGATGGTACTTCAATATACTAATGGTCAAACCTTATACTTTGCTGTTATTGTTTGCTTTCCGGTGTCGACCAGAGGAGGATGGTTTTCCTTTTTGAGTCTTGGTTTCTCTCAAGGTTCCTTTCTCTTGCTCTTATAAGATAGGAAATTTTTCCTTGCCACTTCTGCCATTGGCTTGCTCGTGGGGGCTCGGACCCGGATTTTTTATTGTGAAGATGCACTATATAAATCAACTTTGACTTGACATTACTGCAAATATGTGCTGATTGGTTGGTGAGCAGTTAAGCTTGTTGGCTGTGTGAAGTGGTTCACTCTAGAGACCACTGTAGTTGTGTCGTCATTTTGTAGTCGGCGCTGTTCTCTTACGCCCATATTAGGAACTCTGGGTCCAAGCTTGATTTCTCTATGGCCAGAATGAATAGGGTTTTTGAAAAATCGCCTCCGTTGCACCGCCTGGTAGATAAAAATGTTCAGAGCCGGATACATTTTATCCTATGAACATATGCTCTCATGCTCTCCTGAATATCACTGGATCCTCTGAATTACAAGGTTGTTAAAGAGTCAAAATATGAATATTGCTACATGTAGCTTATTTCCATGTACAGACTGAGGGCAGAAAACTGAAACACGACAGATCTTTCCATTCTGTGCTCAGTTCGATTTGAAAGCTTTACGAACTTACCTGCATTCAGGCTAATTCAGTAGAGACTAATATTACTGCTGACCCCTTGATAAGATAATTTAGGCTAACAAAATTTCCTATTTTCCCATTATTATTTAATTATTTTATTATTCAAGCTGGCAACATTATCTAAGGACATTTGCTCAGGACATTCACCAGCTTCTTGTTCACGCTTTCCTGTTCCACCTTAAATGTTGCAGCAGTTACATTCTGAACTGTGGCACCATTTAAGGTGGAACGGGAAAATTCAAACAAGCAGCTGGAGAGTTGAAAGACATGATATTTTCTTGCTCCTGAGAAGACAGCAAAACAACTACAGTCAAATGTATTTCAAAAATGTCCGTTCTTTATTATCGTGAACATAATGGTTCAGAAACGCAGGTTATTGCAGCATTAGTTTTTAAGCAGTGGTCATTGCAGACAAAGTGCCAAACGCAGATGTCTTTATAATTTTATTTCTCTCATATTTAGCTAAAAGAAGGCAAATCATATCAAATCTCTTGTAGAAAAAAGTGGTTTCCTTTAGACCTAATACTATTTGTGTTATCACAAACACACAATCACAATCACAGCTGTAGTGATCTACAGCACTCGCCTTCAATTCCCGCCTGTTACAGTTGTAATGTTATTCTTGACCCTCACTTGTGCTCAGTTGCTTAAATGCCACATGTTCATTTTTGCTAAGTGTACTCTAGCAGAGATGTTATAAAGGAGGACATAAATCACTGGTTGAAATATGAATGAGAGCGCTCAACATGACGTCTGTATTGCCTTTCAGTAAAAAGCCTCCCCTAGTTGTGTATATCTGCACAAGCGCAGTAGTCGGGACAACTTAAAAAAAAATGTTTTTTGTGCTTTGTTGAGCCAAGCCCTACCAACTTTTATGGCCTCAAATGTGTTTTTAAGCTGTAATTTGGCCCTCAGTTCTGAGTTTATAGGTCTCTCCCTATTCAGAAAGGTAGGAATTGGGTCTTGAATGGCTGGAAATAACTGCCCGGCAGCATTGCAAAGATGGCCATTGAGTGAACAGACTTTCCTAACTAGGACTTTGGACTTTGTCTCTAGTTTGTACTTTGTCTCCAGTTAGCCATCATGACATCAAACACTGAGGCATTATGGCATCTGCTATGACATTTATAGGTAATGGTAACATGGCACTGTTATATTACTGGACAGTATTTTTCATGACAACTAATGACAGCCTATCACATTTTCCATGACTAGCTAATGGCATGATTGTGTCAGTGTTATGTAGCAGTAAAGTGTTACCAAGGCCCAATCCCATTTCTTCTTTTTACCCCTACACCTTGTTTTCAAGGGTCACCTTGCTCAACTGAGTTACAAGGGGTAGTGGTTGAAATCTTCTCCTATGAAATGGGACAACCCTCACATTGCTTCATTAACAGGCTACTAGTGGTGCTCTGTAGGGAACCTGGCCCATCTTGTGATAGTAGAGGAGAGTAAAACTCAGCAACCTCGTTGCTGGGCTTTAGTTAAATTTAGGGAATATTACGCCTTCAAAGAGGTGGAACAGGAAAGTTAGCTAGCTAGCTACCGAGATATTTGCATACTATTTTTATGCTTGTTATGAAGAAAAAGACCATAATTAAACTGAGATAATACAGTGGTTATCATAATTTTTTAATGAAGAAAATACTTACATTTGTGGTGTCTTTGGTCGCTTGTGCAGCCATCTTGCCGGTGTTTCTTTTTTTCTCATAACACTTCGTTTGGAGCGTGCCTCTGAAAAACCTTCGTTTAAAGGGCCATGTAGCCCTAACACTTCACCCCACCCCTCTATCTCAACAAAAATTGGGACACATTTCCCCCTAGATGTGAACGTGAAAAACAGAGGGCTAAGGGCTAAGTGGTAGGGGCAAGGGGTGACATGGGATTGGGCCTAAATCTTCAGTGTGCTAGTGCTGAAAATGTAATAAAAAAGGCTTTTCTTCTGCATTCTTTAATTAGAACTCTGAGTGAATATAAGTTTAACCCCTTAAAATCCCATGCTTATTACATATAAAAAAATTCTTATTCAGTAACTTCAGGGACTTCAATGACAATTGGTTTAGCTATTCTTAATATAGGAAGTGTGTAATAAAACATTGGGCCCACTGGCAGACAGTGTCCATTTAAGGGGTTAAGGCTTATAATGAAAGCCATGTTGTATTGGTTTTGGCTACAGCTTCAACACAGTGACAAACAGATGAGATCGGTTTGTCAAAAAAAGATAATATGGTTGTCTTGCTTCAGTTCTCAGTGATGACTCAGACTTCATGCTTATCAGTGCTTTCCCTGCCACGCTTACCTCCTTCTATTCACTGCCCCCATGACAACGAGGTAAATTCCCACGCAAACCACCAAGGCCATCACCACTCCAAACACAACCAGCCAAATGGTGACTGGCTGCTCAGCAGGGGGAGCCAAGGTGGCCTGCAGACTCTCAAACTCAAATACGTCGTCCTCTAAACATCCTGTATGGACAACATATCATGCTACATAAAGTCAAACTGTCCCATTAGTGAACCACCGACTCACTTTTTTGCAGTGACTACTGTAATTGCAAAACCTCAAGAATTTTCCCACTGAATTAGGGAATAACCCAAATTCCAAAATATATCTGCTATGACTGAGCTAGATCAGCATTATTTTATGATGTCTTACAGGATAGTCCTGGACTTGCAGCAGATTGCATTATAATTGAAACAATTATTTTTGCAACAATTTGCTGCTATCTGCAACCATCAACCATGTGCAGATCAAGTCTCACCAGATAGCTGTCTCCACTTTGACCGTGGCATGATTATTGGTATTGGACAGGCTGGTTTGATTTGTATAACTGCTGATTTCCTGGAATTTTCATGCACGATAGTTTCTAACAGTGGTGCTTAAAGGTTAGGGAACCCTTTAGAATTTTCTATATTTCTGAATAAATTTGACCTAAAACTTCATCAGATTTTCACACAAGTCCTAATAGTGAATAAAGAGAACCAAACTAAACAAGTAAGACAAAAAATTAGACCATTTATTTTAATTAGACCATTTATAAAAATTAGATCATTTATTTATTGAGGAAAATGATCCAATATTACATATCTATGAGTGGTAAAGGTATGTGAATCTTTGCTTTCAGTATCTGGTGTGACCCCATTGTGCAACAATAACTGCAACTAAACGTTTCGGGTAACTTTTGATCAGTCCTGCACATCAGAACTTCAGCTTACTTCAGGTCCTTCCACAACAGTTCTGTAAAATTAAGGTAAGGAATTTGACTTGGTCATTCCAAAACATAAACTTCTTCTTTAACCATTTTTTGATAGAACATCTTGTGTGCTTAGGGTCTTTGTCTTGCTGCAAGACCCACATTCTCTTGAGTTTCAGCCCAAGCACAGATGTCCTGATATTTTCCTTTAGAATTTGCTGGTATAATTCATTGTTGAGTTCATTGTTCCATCAATGACAGCAAGCCATCCTCACCCAAATGCAGCAAAACAGGCCCAAACCATGATACTAACACCACTGCGTTTCACAGATGGGATAAGGATTTTTTGCTTGAGTGTTTTCCTTTCTCCGAACATAACGCTTCTCATTTAAACCAAAAAGATCTATTTTGGTCTCATCCATCCATAAAACATTGTTCCAGAAGACTTCTGGCTTGTCCACGTGACCCGCAAACTGCAGACGGATGCTTTTGGAGAGCATCGGCTTTCTCTTTGCAACCCTGCCATACACACCATTGTTGTTCAGTGTTCTCCTGATGGTGGACTCAAGAACATTAACATTAGCCACTGTGAGACAGGCCTTTAATTGCTTAGAAATTACCCTGGGTTACTTTGAGACCCCGCAGACTATTGCACACCTTGCTCTTGGTGTGATCTCGGTTGCTTCTGGGGAGCAATGGTCTCAAATTTCATCTATTTGTACACCATTTCTCTGACTGGTGGAGTCCAAACTCTTGAGAGATGGTAACCTTTTCCAGCCTGATGAGCATCAACAACTCTTCTTCTGAGGTCCTCAGACATCATCTTTGTTCATGCCATGATACACTTCCACAAACATGTGTTGTGAAGATCAGACTGTGATAGATCACTGTTCTTTAAACAAAACAGGGTGGTGATTCACACCTGATTGCCATCCTATTGATTGAAAATATCTGATTCTAATTTCACCTTCAAATTATCTGCTAAT